GTGCAAGAAAACTTATCTTTGAAAACAAAAATCATTAAAAGCGAAAAAGAATAAACGTATAAAAGATAACACAAGCCTTCAAGATTAATTATAGTGAAAAAACCCTCTTACAAACAATTAAGGAACGACAACAAAATTGATTTAATATTATTGTGCCATGTATCTAGATGATATCATGTATTAAAGGCAGAAATTTATCATAATTTTATTCTGTTTTATGAATAATTGCTGAATGTCTTATAACTATGAGGATGTAAAAATTAAGAAATGAGATAATTTAAAAGAAAAAACGAAAAATAATAATAATTGTTCCTTTAAAGTTTTAGCCACTCATTATAGAATATTAATTGATAATATTTGTTACTTTATATAGAGTACTACAGTGTTACGTCACGATACCACGTGATACTTCTCTGTTGCTATCGTTGCAAAATGCGTTCAACTGGACGCCATTTTCTCCACTGACAAACAATTGATCCCAATTACTAACGTAATTATTAAGACGTTGTATTTTAGTTTTTCTTTGTAAATTTAAACTGATGATTAAATGTGTGTTCGATAATTAACATAGCGTGAGCATTTTTGTTTCTAATACATTTTGATGGTAAAACATTAGATTTTAAAATGCCTATTCCAGAAAATATATGAAGTCATTCAGGCGTAATGAACGGTAACCAACCTCTGGTTGGCAACAGAGGGCGCTACCTGACGTTGTGAAGACACGACTGGTACTCTATAAGAGCGAAGGTAAACAACTTACCGTCACAATCTAGTGGGAAACATTTATATACAGCATTCTCATCTTCGTCAAAATTTGCATTGGTTGGAGAGATCATGAAATCATATTGCGATTCCTGACATTTTGTGAGATGTAAACAAACGTATTGTGCTTGCTCGCAAATTAAATCAGTCATATTCAAGTTGTATGACACGATACCGATATTAGATGTAGTGAAGGGAACAAGTCTGGTTGCGCTCTTTGCATTATTTAGTGCTTGTCGTACTTGGTTGTAGCGTGTACTTTTACCATCAGCACTGTCAGTAGCGTAGACGGCTACATTCCATGAATTTTCTCCATTTATACCAATTGGACCACGTGAGATTATGTTCACATCAAAATCCATTTCGTTGTTCAGTTGCCTTTGTGAAACAGTTAATGCACTATTTGCTTCTGCGTCAAAACCCACGTTTACAGCTGTAAAAAAAATAAAATTCAGGTTTAATTAATGTACAGGGGTGGCCCCAGGATTTTCCTGGTGGGGGTTCCGGGTTCCGACGTCCATAACAGAGGGCCGATGTACCGGACTAAAAAAGTGGGCGTAGTCGGGCGTCGCTCAAAATTTCTCACCAGAGTCTCAAAGGGAGCTAAGCCACAAAAAATATATAAATTTAGGGTTTCCAACGGCTTATTAAGTCCCTATGCCTCCCCGCTGCGCCACCTCTACTAATATAGTTAATAAATGGATAATAATCATTAAAAAAAATTGTTTGTATAATTTCTTTAGTTAATTTTTATTTGAAACACATATATGTAAATATGTATTTGAATTGTTATTGTAAATACATATGAAAGTCTGCTCTTTTTATATTTGAATAAAGTATACCGAATTTTTACAGACAAATGCATTCCTGAAAAAAAATTTAACTGATTATAGTAATAACAAAGTTGTAACTAAGCCATAAATATAATATAATGAAATACATATTTAAATATATTATTATTATTATTATTATTATTATTATTATTTACAATGATTATTCATGTTATTATTATTATTTTAAAAGAAAATATTAACAAAAATGACAGTACTCACAATTGTAACAGCTACTCTTTTTACAATTGACATTCAACGCTGACTCTTCAAATCTATAATCTGGATTAGCATCTTCATTCTTGTCAAATGCGGAGCATATATACTTGAATTTTCCACAACCGATGCCAGAGAGATCAAAACGAAGAAATGGCACAGTGAAACTGAGTTCTCGTATATTATCTCTACTCTTTAAAAGTAGTGGCGTTGCCTGTTGTACAGCACTCAAAACCTGAGGTTTAAAACTATATTTAGTGCCAGTTCCTTGTATATTTTCTGCTCCAAAAATACCGATCCTCCACAGCGAGGTGCCCTCAACATACTTTGATTTTTCTGACATTTGTGCTTTATATTTTAATGTTGTGTTATCATCTTCACCAATAACTAACGCAGAAGTCCCAATTGACCAGACTATGCTACTTATTTGAACCAAGGTTTGTTGTCCATCTCCTGTGATAAAACATATTTGTTTAAAAAGTAAAATTAACAATATTTTTTTTCATTGAAAAGACTAATCCGTCATATCTTAATTTCCTTTCATTTTTAAAGTATTTAAAGTGTTTAAAATTTACTGTATAACTTATCTGAAATTTGGCTAATTTATCGTCCCAAAACCTAATAACTTAGTATAATAATCGATATTGTTACATTTACATTGCGAGTGTGCTAGGGTTACCTATTTGATTGAATTTCTATTGTTTGTATCGGCTTGTTACAAAGCATGTGATATACAACTGCATTGTGAGTCCTAGGCAACACAATGGACTTTCGAGAAAAAAAAAAATCAAGACATGAACACAAAACCTTATTTCTATAATTTTTATAGTTTCTGTGTAATCTGTGAGTCTTTCGTATCATTTTTTTTTATTATGTGGTAAACGTTAATTACGTAACCTTCATTGTGATTCGTACTATTTTTCAGTTGTATTGCTGTTACTAGTCTTGTTGTCATAACATTATAAGTTTGTTTGCGACAGACCGGAAAGGTCGGAACTGAAATTATTTATACTCTCCGTTTAGACTCTCAAGATCATTCTACGGTCCTAGCTGCTACCAGAGTCCTTGAGAAAAATATCTTGAGATAAATTGTACACCACAGTGCAAGTAAACGTATCTTTGAAAACAAAATTCATTAAAAGCGAAAAAGAATAAACGTATAAAAGAGAACACAGGCCTTCAAGATTAAATAAAGTGAAAAAAACCTGTTACAAACAATTAAGGAACGACAAAAAATTGATTTGATATTATTGTGCCATGTATCTAGATGATATCAAGTATTAAAGGCAGAAATTTATCATAATTTTATTCTGTTTTATGAATAATTGCTGAATGTCTTATAAATTTGAGGATGTAAAAATTTAAAAATGAGATATAGAAAAAACGCAAAAAAATATTGTTTTTTAAAGTTTTAGCCACTCAATATAGAATATTAATTGATAATATTTGTTACTTTATAAAGAGTATTACAGTGTTACGTCACATATACCACGTGATACTTCTCTGCTGCTATCGTTGCAAAATGCGTTCAACTGGACGCCATTTTCCCCACTGACAAACAATTGATCCCAATTTCTAACGTAATTATTAAGATGTATCTTAAAATGGTAACATTAGATTTTAAAATGCCTATTCCAGAAAATATATGAAGTCCTTCGGGCGTAATGAACGGTAAACAACGTCTGGTTGGCAACAGAGGGCGCTACCTGGCGCTGTGACGACACGACTGTGGTACTCTATAAGAGCGAATGTAAACAACCTACCGTCACAATCTAGTGGGAAATATTTATATAATGCATTCTCATCTTCGTCAAAATTTGCATTGGTTGGAGAGATCACGAAATCATATTGCGATTCTTGACATTTTGAGAGATGTAAACAAACGTATTGTGCTTGCTCGCAATTTAAATCAGTCATATCCAAGTTGTATGACACGATACCAATTTTTGATGTAGTGAAGGGAATAAGTCTTGTTGCGCTTTGTGTACTAGTTAGTGCTTGTCGTACTTCGTTGTAACGTGTACCTTTACCATCAGAAGTGCTAGTAGCATAGACGGCTACATTCCATGAATTTTTACCAGTTATACCAATTGGACCACGTGAAATTATGTCCACATCAAAAGTCATTTCGTTGTTTGGTTGCCTTGGTAAGGTATTTAATGTACCATTTGCTCTTGCGTCAAAACCAATGTTTACCGCTATAATAAGTGGGTAATAAATCATAAGAAGAAATCGTTTAAATTATTATATGCTTAGTTAATTTTTATTTCCGTAAAAAGCTTTTCATGATAAAATTAATTTAGTAAAGATAGCTTTAGCAGCAATAAGGTTGTAACTAAGTCATAGAAACTATTTTAATTAATGATAACTTTCAATTACCAAAATTGACAATGCTCACATTTGTAGCAACCACTTCTTTTGCAGTTTGGATTTAACGTCCCCTCTATGAATCTGTAGTCTTGACTATCATCATCATTCTTATTTAATTTCAAGCATATATATTTGAAACAACCGACGCCAGAGAGATCAAAGCGAAGAAATGGCACAGTAAAACTGAGTTTTTGTGTACTACCTCTACGCTTTAGAAGTGGTGTTGCCTGTTGTGCAGCACTCAAAATCTGGGGATTAAAGCTATACTTAGTGCCGATTCCTCGTTTATTTTTGGCTCGAAATATACTGAGCTTCCACAGCGAGGTGCCCATAAGACTTGACGAAGAGTTTATGTTTGCTGTAAATTTTAATGTTGTGTTATCATCTTCACCAATAACTAACACAGAAGTCCCAATTGACCAGTCTATGCTTTTTAGTTGAACCGTAGTTTGTTGTTCATCTCCTGCGATAACACATTTTTTTTTAAAGTAAAATTAAATGTACACAGTACACTGCTAGAATAATTCTATCATTTTTCATTAAAGGCCAGCTCCGGGCATATATTTTCTCTTCACTATGTGTTCAAATACATTGAACATATATCATATTAGTAATCTTGACAAAAAAATTCGCCAATTTTACTGAAAACGAGAATATAAAAATCCGCTTAGAACCGCAAAAAAATCAAGCAGTCTACTTGTTTTCACTAGCTAGGATTTTGAATACTCCAAGGCGTGATGAGAAAACAAATTACAACACACTAACTGTCAACCAACGACACGGCGAGAACGTGACATCGCGCTGCTGTGGACTTCACCACACTAACCTGTAAAACGCGTCGGTCAAGATGGTGTACAATAAACATAATTGCCTTAACAGAATCAATAATACAATTGATAAAAGTACAAAAAAAAAAAAAAAAAAATGACAGAAGAGAGTAGTTTATGGAATAACTTGCATATAAAACAAAGAGTTTCAAAACCAGCCCAGTTTCTAGGCTAATCGACACATAGTCATATCTCAGCCGCCGTCAAGGTCTAGCTAAGAGAACTGCGCGGAATAGTACTAATAACAATCTTCCTACCAATCCACGCATTGCCTGCCCAGTGTAATTTGTAGGAATAGTTGTAGGGGTAAGCGTTATGGAGTATGGTCGGAGCGGCCGCGAGGGAAGCGGCCGCGAGCCGATACACAGCAATTTGTATGGAGCACCAAGCGTGCAGTATGCAAAATGTATGTTGGACAATGGGCATCACTTTTTTTACACGAAAGGGTCGAAGCGAGCGAGAGCTGGAGAATGGATTGGAAATCTAGCGCATGCGCAAAGCGATTGAATCCCCGGAAAGTGAAAAAAAAATCAAGTGGGCACGGTGGGGAATAAATGATAACTGCGAAGAAATACGCACTTGACGAATAAAAACGAAAAGCTAAATTCACCCCAGTGTAGTCATTTAGTGTAATTTTATGCCCTATTGTTTATTTGTTATGATTTTCTTCAAAATGCCTGCTCTTAAGGTCATTTGTGTGCAAAAGAATACGGAATTTTGCTGGGTAAGTTTACCTATACACCCACTTTCAAAAAAGTACTTATTTAAAAAAAAATCATGTAGCAAAACAAAATTCAGAAAACTCCCGAAACATAGGTGAATCAATAGACTGATAATAACTATAATATATAATCAATACAAATGTTTTGCTCGGAGCTGGCCTTTAAAAAGACTAGTCTACAATTATCTAGTCAGCTGCAGGCAGACTGGGTTCTCTTTTCTTTCATTCTGGAAAACGAAACTAGTGGAAAACATTGGGTTGATTTCATTAGAACCGGTGACACCTCCCATTCATGTTTTCTTAACTGCTTGGGGTCATAATTCAAATATGGTCGTTAGAGTGAAAACCATAAAGTTCCGCAAACTATGGTCTGCAGCCCAAATTTGGGCTGCGGAATATTTTTGGAGGGCCGCGAAGCCGTCTGGAAATTGAAAAAAAAATAACAAAGAGACGTTTTATCATGGAGAAAATAGTTTTTAATAAAGCCGCTTCATTGTTACAGCGTCGATCCACTCAAGTCGGCTCGTCCCAAACAAGGTCTAGAATCAATAGAGCTCACGTGTGCAAGTTAATCAAGTTTGCACGCCAGCAGATCATCCGCTTCCAGTCCGTCGGTCAAAAATTAACACACCTTTATTAATTCTTGTCCAAGGTCAGTTCGCTTGAGTCGGCTCGGCCCAGCCAAACTAGTATTGTCAATACATGTATACACAAATTTGAAGTAAATCGGTCCAGTAGTGTTTGGGTTATGCCTCCGGAAGGATACACACCACACATCCACTCAAAAACCTCAGCCCTATTGCAATACCCTTCACCTCTCCTTCGGAGGGGCGATGGTACATGAATACCTTTAGACCTTTAAAAAGTAACCTGTAAACGTCTCAACGCGTAAAATGTTGATTTACCTCCATGAGACAGATTTAAATTTACCTGACCATTAAAATTTAATAGAGGGTACTCACAGTTAGCTGGAGATCGAATATAAGTTTGCAATTGCAGTTTTTAGAAAATTCGAGTAATGAAGAAGTTTTCTTGTCAATGTGGTCTTACGTTTTGCCCTCAAGGACAATAAAACAAAGAAAGACATACACATGTAATGAACTAAAAATTTCTGAAAAGAAAGCATGTGTCCAAGAAGTTGATTCGAGCGTGGCATAGATATATGCAGAGAATTATTTTGATTAACGAAGTTAATTAACGTAATTTTACAGTAGATGTTTTCTTTAGTCTAGAGGAAATTTTTCTTTAATGGCGAAATTTTTAATTCAATCAGGTAAATTAATCCAAAATTTACGACAGAAAGTAATGTTGATAGGATATTGTTTTGTGGAAAGGAATGTGGACTTGATTGGAGAACCGAGTGTTATGTCTATGTTAAATATAATAATCTGAACAATTAATATCAATTTCAGTAGGAAGAATCGAGTTTTACCAAGAAAAAAGAAAGACAAAATGCTGCAGATAATCAATATCATAGTATTTTAAACTAAAAGAGAAGAAAACAACGAACCTGACAACCTTCTTTTGAAGTAACAAATGTTTATTTTAATTTGATGGGTATTCCATACATTTACAGAAATTAAGGTAAGGAAGAATTATGAGCAGCAAATAATAATCTATGTATACTTTTGGATATTTTATATACAGTATCATTAATGTGATGCTTCCAAGTCAAATTACAGCCCCAAAGTTGCCAAGAATTATTTGTTTAACATGAAGTTTAATTTGTTTACCTATCGGGAATTGATATCAAGTGAACGCTTAAACAACATACAACTGCACAGAATAACTGAAATTTTGTTTCTTTCGCAGAAAATAAATAAAGATATACACTAAACAATAAATTATACGGTCAATGATCAAAATGCACAGCTTTATACCAATATTTGTTCTAGATCCTGGTGAAAAAATCGGTTTTTATTTGTGAAGTATAGATAGTGTATATTTTAAATATAACGGATAACAAGCATTCAATTTCTTAATTTTCTGGATATAAAATCTGTACAAGGGATGGCATTCGCTGTTTTAATACAATAAAATATTAGATACTGATTTGACCAGTTGGCACACTCAAAATATATTTCCCTTAATGTACTGAAAAGTGTCCCCCTAAAGGGGGTGGGTGTCCCCAAAGGAAAGGTTCTACTGTATTTTAAGCGATAATTGTTTCACTTATTTTTACTTTATATTTATTCTTATATTTATATTTGTTATTAACCCACTGTATCGTATAAGTTTTTCTTCGTTTTTAAACTGACATTTCATCATTATAAATATATTATATTTTTTATATGTTGATGTTTTTTTGCTTGGAAGATTGTGGCTGTCTTATGATGCAAATTATTATTATTATTATTATTATTACTATTATTATTATTATTATTATTATTATTATTATTATTATTATTATTATATGTATATATATGATATATATGATAATATATATATATATATATATATCATATCATCGTATCGGACTTATGTCGATAAGGTAGATAAAGAAACGAGAAAATTTGTACAATATAATATAAGGCATTTTATAAGCAAGTGTAAAACATCGTTTTGCGTAAAAATTGAACATAAAGAAAATCAGGTCAATTATGTATTTAACAGAGTTAACATTTAATAGAGTTAACATTCGGAATGAAAGTTTACATAGCGTCCTGATTTTCAGATGAGACGTTTAAGACGTTGACTGCCAGACTTTCTTTAAAGGTTCCTTCTCGTGTGCCAATACAAGTTTACATGTACAAGTATACTTTTTTGGAAATTTTATCCAGTCATATATCATCAAAATGATATGTATAATAATAAATTGGCAGGAAAATATTAGGGGGCGAGTATACTCGTCGACGGCACTGTGATAGAACGCTTTATAAACTATGCCAAGTACGAGTTATCTCGTCCGCTTTTTGCATGGCTTGGTATATGTTCAAATGGCGTCCCAATTGTGCCGCTCGAGTGTACTACCGGCAACATAACACAACAAACATACATATATCATTTGTACATTATCGTCTTAGGTATATTGTTCCC